GGGATGGAGAATTCTAGGTTATTATTTTAGTTATGAAAATGTACATACTAAAATGAAGACTAGAGAAAATAGTTCCAAAATGATAGTAAAAGTACATTTTCTACTGACCTTCTTGGCAGCCAAGGCAAAAAGGAAAATTTAAGTGAGACCATAGTTTTCACAGATTAATATGTTTGTCAGGAGACAGTTTGTTCACTCTTTTCCTGGCACTAAATTACGTAGCTGAAGTTACCATGCTTTTAAATCATATAGTCATAGGTATACCTATGGCTGATTCATGCTGATGTTTGGCAGAAACCAATACAATACTGTAAAGCAGTTACCCTTAAATTAAAAATAAATAAGTTAAAAAATTATATAGTCAGTGTCTTCAACTACAGTTTTAAAGAATGAATAAAAATATTTGAATATTTAAACAACCCTAAGTACCTGATGCTGGGAGGGATTGGGGGCAGGAGGAGAAGGGGACGACAGAGGATGAGATGGCTGGATGGCATCACCGACTCGATGGACATGAGTTTGAGTAAATTCTATGAGTTGGTGATGGACAGGGAGGCCTGGCGTGCTGTGATTCATGGGGTCGCTAAGAGTTGGACATGACTGAGTGACTGAACTGAACTGAAGTACAGTGAGGGTTTGGCCTTCAATCGTAATACAGTGCAGGCCTCGTGTTGTTCTTGGAGTTCGTGTAAGTGTAGGCCAGGTCAGCACTTCCCGGTGCCCTGGGGCTGGTGTCACCCTCAGACCCTCTTTCAGGTTTCAGCTCTCTCAGGGGGTGCTCACAGCAACTGGGAAGCTGTTTGTCAGGATCATGGATGCTGAGATGTAGATCTTTATACCCCTGACAAGAGAATGAAATCGGTGTTTCTTAACCACATATGAGCTCTCTCTCAGCATTCAACATGATGTCTTGTGTGGGCTGTTTCTTACCTGGATTTTTTAAAAGGGAAATATGTCTTCACACTCCCCATTTTTTCAGTTTTCAGAAGTGCTGACATCTCAAGAGATGTTAAGATTTTGGAAAAAGAAAAAAATTGTCCTCTGCCTTTCTAGGTTCTTCTAGCTGGTCTAAGAATTTGACATGAGCCAGATAAACAGGAGAAAGTCAGAGTTAATCACATGTGCGCAGGGGCCTGTCCTAGGAGGCTTCCATGGCATCTGAGAGGAGGAGGAGAAGGGGTGGACATTGAGGACTTCAGCAGGCAGGATGCAGTTCACACGGAGACAGGCAAGCAGGTGTTTGGAGAACAGATGTTTGCGGGGACTTGCTGGGATGGTGGGACGCAGAGAGGACTCTGTTTTCCAGGCCCCACCCAGCTCCCCACACCTGGCCCGTGCTTTTTGTAGATCTCCCAGGATAGTGCTCTTCTGGGCCAGGCCCTTCCTCTGAGGTCTGTAGGCAGGTGAGGGGCAGGTGAAAAGACTTCATGAACTGTCTGTTTCTTAAAAATGATCATCATGAAATAATCATCGTGTTGAAGAGACATTCTGTGGGGTGGCAGATTTTGTTTCCTTACAGAGTAATGGATGACATTAGAGAAGGAAGTATTACACATCTCAGATTTTGCTTTTTGGTAGAAACAACGGTTTAATGTCCAGCTCCTGTGGATTGCTGGTACATATCAGATGCCCTTTGAGTGAACTGTGAGTTGAATTGGTGTATTAATCTTCATGTGTAGAGAGACTGACTCGGTACTCAGATAACTCACTTAGATAGCTCTATGAAGTCCTGTTAGAGATGCGTTTTCACCTCTGAAATGAAGTCTGTAGTCGCTTTTCCTCTTGCCTGACAGTGAAGTGAAGTCACTCAGTCGTGTCTGACTATTTGCGACCCCATGGACGGTAGCCTACCAGGCTCCACGGTCCATGGGATTTTCCAGCAAGAATACTGGAGTGGGCTGTCATTTCCTTCTCCAGGGTATCTTCCCAACTCAGGGATCGAACCCAGGTCTCCTGCATTGCAGACAGACGCTTTACTGTCTGAGCCAATAATGTAGCCTTAACCCAAAGGCATGGTAGCTCAGCTGGTAAAGAATACGCCGGCAATGCAGGAGACCCAGGTTTGATTTCTGGGTCAGGAAGATCCACTGGAGAAGGTATAGGCTACCCACTCCAGTATTCTTGGGCTTCTCTTATGGCTGAGCTGGTAAAGAATCTGCTCGTGATGCGGGAGACCTGGGTTCAATCCCTGGGTCGGGAAAATCCCCTGGAGAAGGAGATGGCGACCCAGTATTCTTTCCTAGAGAGTCCCATGGACAGAGGAGCCTGGCTTGCAATGGGGTCTCAAGAGTCCAAGAGTCAGATACAATTAGCGACTAAACCACCACCACCACTCACTCCAGTATTCTGGCCGGGAGAATTCCAGCTACTGTGTAGTCCATGGGGTCGCACAGAGTTGGACATGACTGAGCAACATTTCCTTACTCATTATTATTGTTGTTGTTGTTATTACTATCATCATCTACTATAAAGGTGGAACAGTGTCTGCTATCTGCACCGGAGGCCGGGCAGCCTCTCAGTAGAGAGAGGAACGGACCTGTGCCTGGCAATTCACCTGCCCGCTCTGCCCTGAGCAGGTGGCCACAGCTTTCCCTCCCCTGTGGGTGGAGATGAGACACCCGCTCCCAGGTGCTGCGGAGGGGAGAGGAGGACATGCGGGCACGCCCGTGCCCAGGTCTCCATGGTGGCAACACTGTGGGTGAGGCGACCTCTGTGTGTTCCCAGCCGCAGGCCCCTGGTGTCAGGACTGCCGTGTGCCCGGCGGCACACAGGACTTGCAGGCAGCTCAGGTGATGCTCAGGAGTGTTAGAATTGACCACACTGGGTGTCTGGACAGCAGATCACCACACTTTCCAGGCCGAGCGCAGGCAGTCGATTTTTCTCCAGAGCTTTGTCAGCTGGGTCCCCGACGTGTAGGGCAGGCTTTTGTGCCTCCATTCAGTATTAGACGGTGTTTGTTCCAGGACTCAGCGTGGCTTCAGATGCCCGGGCACTCGAGCCCTTCACAGATGATCCTCTGTGTCCGTGGATCGTCTGGGAGGAGTGTTCTGCTGCTGCTGGTTGAATCTTCAGACAAGGATGCTGCAGGGGTGGAGGGCAGACTGTGTATCTGAGGTCTGGACTTTCTACAGTAAGCATTGTATTCCCCAGTTCCCTTCTACCTAAACCTCGCAGACCTATGCAGCCACAAACGCTCCCTGGTTGGAATCTTCCTCAGGGTGCTAGCATTGACTGTGACTATAAACTCTTTTATTTTCTAATAAAATTTGTAGGCTTCTGTTTTGACCTTTACATAAATTAAAACTTAGCTGTTGGTTGAAGAAAAGATCCCTATTGTTTATGTTAGGGTGGTTATTCTCACTAATAAATAATAGATGATGTGCTTCATATGATACCTAGAGTGAGTCAGTGCTAAGAACTTTCCTACTGGGATAAAAAGATAAGCCCACAAGTCATTGTCACGCCATAGGAAGTTCAGTCAAGCTCGTGTGTTTAAACCACAGCCTCCTCCGAGCCCCGTGGAGTTCTGTCCCCTCACTTGTGCTAGTTCCCAGAGCTCATGCTCTTCCTGTCTGGGTTCTGTGTTGTTTGACAGGTGTCTTCAAGCCGGGATGGCTTTGGGCTGAGACTGTGATGGGAGAGGGTGGACAGTGCAGGGGCCAAGACTCACCCCATCCCGGGGTTCTGTGCCTGTGCAGGACTGCAGGTCACTTTGGCCTGTGGATCCTAGGGGCCCCCAAAGGCCACTTGATGGACATGCTAAGACCAGGAGAGGTGGAGCAGTGGCTGACGGCTGGAAACGCTGACCCCCATGCCCACTGAGCCGCCTTCACACCCATCCCTCAGCCAGCCCCCCAGTGAACCCCGAGAGCCCGCTCTCCACCAAGTGGTCAGCTGGAGTGTGAACCTGATCTCTAGTCCAGAACTCAAGACTTTCCCCTCTTTAAAGGAGGAATCTTGTAAATGTTCTTAAAAAACCTTTTTCTTGTCCTTACTGGGTACTTGAGAAACAGTAGTTTAGGCAAGTCCTTTGTCAGAAGATAGGGAAAGGTTTTCTGTCCTGGAATCACAGTGGTACCCATCTGCAGTTCAGAGCTGAGTATACACAGACAGTGGGTTTCCCAGGTGGTGCTAGTGGTAAAGATCTTGCCTGCCAGTGCAGGAGATGTAAGAGACGCAGGTTCGATCCCTGCAGGGGTTGGGAAGATCCCCTGGTGGAGGAGGGCATGGCAACCCACTCCAGTATTCTTGCCTGGAGAATCCCATGGACAGAGGGCTACAGTCCATGAGGTTGGAAAGTCGGATTCAACTGAGCAACTTCACACAGCACGTACACAGACTGGGTGCTTGTCCAGTTGATTTTCTGAAGGAGAGAACGTCACCTGAAACATTTGGAGACCACCTCTCTAAGCCACAGTTTGCTCCCTCTATAAAACGAGATCTCTTTTCAGCTCTTGTGATTGTCCTGTGGGTTCAGCAGGACCATCTTGGCAAAGGTTTCAGACTCCACCAGTGTAGACGGAGTGAGTGCTGAGTAACAAGCAGCTCCGATTAACTGTCGGATCCTGGAGGTTACTTCCAGTGGTTATTTTCACATGCGCTTGTGTCAATCTCTAGGGTTAGACAACTTGTATTTTCTAATGTCAGGAAGCTTCTCATGTGTTGGGCCATTGACTTGGACTTGTACGTAGGTTGATTTTGAACTTGTTAGGTTGCAAAAGAGAGCAGCAGACAAGACTTTACAGGAAGGCAGACGGTGCCTGTGGTCAGATGTGAATTACTCATTTATGTGTGTTGCAGCTTGTCTATACATGGTAAATGGAGTGTTTAAAATTCATGCAGTACTGGTACTTTTGAATTTAGGCAAGATCAGTTTTCTGGGGCTCAGTTTTTAGATGTTAAAGTGAGCAGAGATGACAGTGTATATTATGCTTCAGTTTTGAAAAGGACTCTTCACTGATTCAGTTCTAACCTCCCTTGCTGTCCTTCCTGTGTTTCAGGGAATATCTTGGTAAACAACTCCAGTCTGAACAGCCGCAGACGGCAGCTGCCCGGAGCTGAACGGGCTCTCAGGGCTTCCCTTGGATCTCCAGCGGTCCCCTCACCTGGGGTAGAAGACCTGGAGTGGGTCTCAGTAACTGCGGTCAAGAACAAACCATTCCTCATTTTATGTGTCATTTTCTTCCGTTGTGTAGCTTTTCCCAGTGCTGATTTCCCATTAAGTTGTCTTAAAGTAGGTGCTTTCTGTATCTAAGGAAAATATTGCTGTTACATATACTGCTCGTAATCTGTGTATGTATTGTTCTCTGGAATGAATATAGGATTATTAAAGCATTCTCACTCCAAATGCATCTTTTCTCTTTCCTTGTTCCTGACTTGAACTGTAACAAAAATACCTTTTGTCCCACCCAAATTGGGAGAACTGTATTTGCAGAGTGGTGAATGGTAAATAAATGTTTTGAATTCATATGTATTTTTGTCTTCCATCCATCCGCCTGCCCATCTACACCTGCACATTGCAGCAGTCTTCTGCTAGTATTGAGAAAACCTTAAAATGTTAAATGAACTCTTAACATGATGCTGTCATCTAAGAGACTTTCTTATGAAGCGCAGTGAGGAATTTTAGCTTTAGGTTATTTTCACTGATTTCTTATTTACTCTTGGATTTTAGTACTTCAAGTCTATTTTCTTTTAATACTTTCTGGTTTAAATATTGCCAATAGGTATTTTATTTCTACCTCCCACCTTTTATTCTGGAACTCCCAGCCTTCATGGGGACATCTATGGCCTGTAGGTTTACCTCCCCCAGATCTGAGCCTTTTGTTTTTAACCTTAACGCCTGGTCTGAGTCTCATTTTTCTTTCATTTTCACTTTTCATTCTGAGCAGTTCTCTGATTGTCGAGTAAAGGTGGTAAGGCTAATGGTTTACATGGTAAGTTTTCTTCTATAGAAAGACACTCCTAGCACCATCTCCTGTTTAAGGATAAAAGATTGAAAAGGTTGACTTGACCGCCTTCGTCCAGTTCCCACTTCTCCCACCCCATGCCTCTGACAACCACAAATCTGATCGCTTTTTGAACTAATGTTTTCATTTCCTTTGGATAAATGAAATTGCTGGATTGTATGGTAGCTCTATTTTTAACTTTTTGAGGAACCTCCATACTCTTTTTCCACAGTAGTTGTACTGACTCACATTCCCACCAACAGTGCACAAGGGATCCCTTTTTGCCACATCCTTGCCAACACTTGTTACCTCCTCTTGCTGATAATAGCTTCTCACAGCTGTGAGGTGATGTTTCATTGTGGCTTTGATTTGCAGTTATCTGGTGATTACTGTTCAGCATCTCTTCATGTGCCTGTTTGCCATCTGTATGTCTTTGGAAAAATACTTCTTCAAGTCCTCTGCTCATTTAAAAATTATTTTTAACTACTTTTATTGTTTTAAAATTCTTTTTTGTGGTGGGAAACTTCTTTTTTGGGTCTTCTTGACCTTCATATTTTAGAAGATATGTGAAAAGGGCCTTCCCATTGGCAGGTAAAACTTATTCCCACACATTGTACCTGGACAGTCACAAGTACCAGATTTATAGAATATGTGACAGGCAACCTGTTTTATTACAAAAGACCTAGTTAGAATGTTTCTGGCAGTTTCCAGTGATTTTCAACATTTGGGCCAAGGTCTGCCTTTGGAATAACACAGAACAAGTCTTATCCTTAAGATTCTACTTTTTAAAAACACGTTTATTCTAGAATAGTGCTTCTTTATTTTTGTCATGTAAACATGTTTCTATTTGAATGCTGGACACCTCAGACCACATTTTGACAGAGCAAGTTGAAACAAACGTGTGTCATGTGATGTGTCAATGTGAAACGGAGACCTTCCTTCCTGGGTGGCCCAGACATCAGGAGAAACTGTTGAAAGAGTGAGATTTTTTGCTCTGAAGAGAGCAGCAGTGCCTGTAATCCCCCCAGAGCAGGGGTCCTGACTGGGGCTTGCAGACACACTGCCTTGCTGGCACCCTGCCTCCTATTGCACCCACACAACTGACAGCTTGGCATGGGAGCCTGACCTGCAGGCAGCAAGTCTGGAGATGACAACCCCAAGCGGGTGGGCCCAGGAGGGGACACACTGACCAGGATGTCTTTTTTGGGATGTTGACATGAGGTGTAGATGAAAGTAACTGGCAGTCACAGCAATCAGAGCAGAAAAAGAAGTAAAAGGAATCCAGATAGGAAAAGAAGAAGTGAAACTCTCGCTGTTTGCAGATGACATGATCCTCTACATAGAAAACCCTAAAGACTCTACCAGAAAATTACTAGAGATAATCAACGAATACAGTAAAGTTGCAGGATATAAAATTAACACACAGAAATCTCTTGCATTCCTATACACTAACAATGAGAAAACAGAAAGAGAAATTAAGGAAACAATACCATTCACCATTGCAACAAAAAGAATAAAATACTTAGGAGTATATCTACCTAAAGAAACAAAAGACCTATACACAGAAAACTATAAAACACTGATGAAAGAAATCAAAGAGGACACAAACAGATGGAAAAATATACCGTGTTCATGGATTGGAAGAATCAATATTGTCAAAATGGCTATACTACCCAAAGCAATCTACAGATTCAATGCAATCCCTATCAAACTACCAACGGTATTTTTCACAGAACTAGAACGAATAATTTCACAATTTGTATGGAAATACAAAAAACCTCGAATAGCCAAAGTAATCCTGAGAAAGAAGAATGGAACTGGAGGAATCAATCTGCCTGACTTCAGACTATACTACAAAGCCACAGTCATCAAGACAGTATGGTACTGGCACAAAGACAGAAATATAGATCAATGGAACAGAATAGAAAGCCCAGAGATAAATCCACGAACCTATGGTCACCTTATCTTTGACAAAGGAGGCAAGGATATACAATGGAAAAAAGACAACCTCTTTAACAAGTGGTGCTGGGAAAACTGGTCAACCACCTGTAAAAGAATGAAACTAGAACACTTTCTAACACCATACACAAAAATAAACTCAAGATGGATTAAAGATCTAAATGTAAGACCAGAAACTATAAAACTCCTAGAGGAGAACATAGGCAAAACACTCTCCGACATAAATCACAGCAGGATCCTCTATGACCCACATCCCAGAATTTTAGAAATAAAAGCAAAAATAAACAAATGGGACCTAATGAAACTTAAAAGCTTTTGCACAACAAAGGAAACTATAAGCAAGGTGAAAAGACAGCCCTCAGATTGGGAGAAAATAATAGCAAACGAAGCAACAGACAAAGGATTAATCTCAAAAATATACAAGCAACTCCTCCAGCTCAACTCCAGAAAAATAAATGACCCAATCAAAAAATGGGCCAAAGAACTGAACAGACATTTCTCCAAGGAAGACATACAGATGGCTAACAAACACATGAAAAGATGCTCAACATCACTCATTATCAGAGAAATGCAAATCAAAACCACAATGAGGTACCATTACACACCAGTCAGGATGGCTGCTATCCAAAAGTCTACAAGCAATAAATGCTGGAGAGGGTGTGGAGAAAAGGGAACCCTCTTACCCTGTTGGTGGGAATGCAAATTAGTACAGCCACTATGGAAAACAGTGTGGAGATTTCTTAAAAAGCTGGAAATAGAACTGCCATATGACCCAGCAATCCCACTTCTGGGCATACACACCGAGGAAACCAGATCTGAAAGAGACACGTGTACCCCAATGTTCATCGCAGCACTGTTTATAATAGCCAGGACATGGAAGCAACCTAGATGCCCATCAGCAGACGAATGGATGAGGAAGCTGTGGTACATATACACCATGGAATATTACTCAGCCATTAAAAAGAATTCATTTGAATCAGTTCTAATGAGATGGATGAAACTGGAGCCCATTATACAGAGCGAAGTAAGCCAGAAAGATAAAGACCATTACAGTATACTAACACATATATATGGAATTTAGAAAGATGGTAACGATAACCCTTATGTGCAAAACAGAAAAAGAGACTCCTATGTATAGAACAGACTTGTGGACTCTGGGAGAAGGCGAGGGTGGGATGTTTCAAGAGAACAGCATTGAAACACGTATATTATCTAGGGTGAAACAGATCACCAGCCCAGGTTGGGTGCATGAGACAAGTGCTCGGGCCTGGTGCACTGGGAAGACCCAGAGGGATCGGGTGGAGAGGGAGGTGGGAGGGGGGACCGGGATGGGGAATACATGTAAAAAAAAAAAAGATACACTATGGTTGTGATAAAAAATAAATTAAAAAAAAAAAGAAAGTAACTGGCAGTGAGATGACACATGTGGAAGAGATACCTAGAGCGATGAAAAGGCTTTAAAACCCGAGTAAAAATCCCAGAGGCAGAGAGGAGAGTTGCAGGTGAGCTGGGTGACACCAGGTGAGAAGGGTAGGCTCACTGGTGCCCAGTCATCAGACTTGTGGGAGGCGGAGGACAAGAGCCGCTGCCCAAGACCAGTGGGTGGACCTGGGTGATCACTGAATATAAGGTCCACACGTGAAAAACACTTCTCTGGGGTAGCAACCAACAACTGGGAATTAAAAATAGTGTAAAAACACTTCCAAAATTTAGAGCGTATCTATAAGCAATATGTGAACCGAGAACTTCCAGATGTTTAAGCTGGATTTAGAAAAGGCAGAGGAACCAGAGATCGAATCGCCAATATCCGCTGGATCATCGAAAAAGCAAGAGAGTTCCAGAAAAACATCTATTTCTGCTTTATTGACTACGCCAAAGTCTTCGACTGTGTGGATCACAACAAACTGTGGAAAATTCTGAAGGAGATGGGAATACCGGCCACCTGACCTGCCTCTTGAGAAACCTGTATGCAGGTCAGGAAGCAACAGTCAGAACTGGACAAGGAACAACAGACTGGTTCCAAATAGGAAAAGGAGTACATCAAGGCTGTATATTGTCACCCTGCTTATTTATCTTATATGCAGAGTACATCATGAGAAACGCTGGGCTGGAAGAAGCATAAACTGGAATCAAGATTGCCGGGAGAAATATCAATAA